GAGCCTTGGAGAATGGCAGCGTTTCACCAATTACTCATTTTCTCAACTGAAAGGATCATATTTCTGCTGACTTCTCCATGCTCCTGGGCTTGCTAACAGGGTACAGCAATGCCATGAGCAGTTCTTCTATTTACCCAGCATCTTTGTCCTGATGTATCCCAAAAGGCTTTACAGATGTTAAGTGCTAACTGTACAAAGCATCCAAGTAGGAAATGTTTTCTCCTCCCGGCAAGTGCAATCTGCTCTGAGTGAAATGCAACAGCTGCTTACGAACATGTGCTGCAACATTAGAGCACAGTCAGGGGCCAAGAGCGAAGATGCCAAATGCATCCAAATGAGAGAGGAGGAGGGGAATTCTGGGAGGCAGAGACAGTCATCAGCAGAAGTGGCATTGAACAAGGATTCCAACACTTCTCTCCTCCCTCAATTTTCCCTCCCTTCCTGAAGAGCCCTGAGCCATCGATATACCCAAGAAATGTCATGGGGTTTCCACGTTAAAGAATCACTTTGTGCCATGAAGCCCTTTTGCTTCGTAGTACACGGGTGTACTGTGCATCCAGCAACACCAAAGTCTAAAACAAAAACAAGGAACTGTACATTCAAATATTTATGAACTTCCCTTTGTCAGAGAGTTTGGCACACTAAGGCAGACTTGCTTACCAATACATCTTTGTTTTAATACTTAGCAGCTTTAACCTTGGCTGGGACTCACTGGAATTTTATTTTAGAAGATCCAAAAGCTCTACATGATCCTGATGAGAAAGAAATATAAGCTTCCCTTGTCCAGCTGACTCTACCCATCCCTTTCATAAAGGCAACGTTCAGGCTGCAAACAGGTGGCTAAGAAGCAACACTTTCATGGTTTGAAGCAGCTCTTTGGCATTTCAAGTTGCCAAGGTGGACGGGAAGAGTCCCATGAGCCAAAATGTAACTGCTTTGCATGCTCTTGTTCTTTTGCAAAGAGTAGCTGTTTAGCTATGTACATAACCAATTTATGGTTCTTATGAGTAGAAATGGGCAGTAGAGTGTCTGGTTTCTTGGGAGACCATCTATTTATGAGAGCACTGCCCCAATTCTTAAGAATCAACGTGGGAAGCAAGAGACCTCTCTGAACAAGTTCAGAAACCAGCCCTGGGCTTTGATGAAAACCTCCATGTTCAACAACAGTATCGGCTTTGCACACCCACCCTCCCATTCCAGCACTCTGCTCCAATGGGGATGGCAAAGTTGTGGGCAGGGAAACCAGACCAGGAAGCTGATCTGGTTGAAAAATAACCTGACAAAATGTTTAAGTTTTGCTACTTTGGCTGGACCAGTTTCTAATTTGTTCTCAGGGCAGAGCCATGAACAACAGTGCTGGCACAGTTACGAGTTCAGGACAGGACACAACTCACTGGTATCTTTCATTCTTAATACAACAATTCAAACACTTTAACACAGAACTAGGACTTTGAAAAATGTACCTGTAAGGATCATTAGGGTCTTTGGCATCACAGACGTCTGCATGGCCATGGCAGACACAGCGCCCTCCAATGCTGATATCTTTGATGCTGTAGTAATACTGGAAAGCACAAGAAAAGTTGGCCATTAATATCTTTATGAATAAGCTACATAACTGCCCCACTCAGGATTCAGCGGGACTTTATCCAGTAAAATGATGTGTTGAGATATTTCCCTTACAGTGACAAGCTGGACCTTGTAGGCTGCAATATCTGCCTATGGTAAGACCCACCACCACTAACAGAGCCCGTTACCTACAAGTCAGGTCTCCCAGCACAGCCAGAAAACCACATGTGACACCAAGAGGTGTTTCCCAGTTTCACTTGTTGGTGCTAAGCACAGTTCTTCCCAAGCAGCCTCCAGCTCCAGCCACGGCAGCAGTGGCATCTGCTGCAGACGCCTTCAGCTTGGGGAGCACAAGTACAGAAAGAGGCAATCCCCATGGGCAACATCCAGGGATGTCTTCTCCCCAGAGGTGACATGCACAGCCCTCAAACACTTCCACCTTATTAGCAAGAGGTATCAAGGCCTGCCTTACCCTCCTTGTCACCGTAGGGTCCCTTAAAGCTTTGCCCATCAGGTGCCCGAGCAGAGTGTTTGTCTGCAGGAAGCGCAGTCTGATGTTGGTGGCTTTTGTGAAATTCCGCAGGAGAGGAGAGTAGGAGAAGTTCATGGCTCCTGGGCGCCCATTTACCAGAGAGACAACAATCTGTGAGTGCAAGGAGGGAAAACAAATCTGTGTAATCCTGTGAGGTGGAAGGAAATTAATCTCTCCCTCAGCCAAACCCAATCTTTACCTCCCTTCAAGACAACTGAATCAGTTCCCTGCCTCATTTGGTTTAACTGAGTAGTTTAAGTGGCATCCAAAAGTCAAGAGGGAACCAATTAATAAGAGTACCTACAGTCACTGAGAAACCCTGGAAACTCCAGGGGATGAGAACATGCAACTGCTCACCTCCCCATTTTCTAAAGGCACGATCCGGGAGTATTCAGTAGTGCAGATGGCGTGGTCATCCTTGGTGATACGATCTACGGTTTGCAGTCCAAACTTCTCAATGCAGTCCCTCTTGGAAGCTGTTCATCAACCAGAGATGAGAGCAGTAAGAGAAAAGGAACAATTCAGAGCCCTGTCTTGATTTTCCCATGCTGGCCAATCGGAGAGAAGGGTGTATACTCTTTGTTAAGCATTTACTACATACAGATTGCTTTGTATCATTAGCTCTGTCATTGCTAACATACATATACTCCACTAAGGGAGGGAGTCACTATGAGACTAATAGGTATGGTTAGAAAATCCCCCAAATCACTTCACTGCAGTAAATGAGGAAAGTGAGAATGACCATTGTACCTACTGCAACCACCTGAAGAGACACCCACCCTGTAATTTTGGCATTAAGCTCACAGTTTATCCAGCTTGAGCTCTAACCCTGGTCTGAGTTTGTTGCCTTGCTGGCACTGGATTTGCTACACTGCTTCCACTGAGCTGAAGGACTGTTTGCTGCTAGAGCTCTGTTCCTGATGTAGGAGCTTGTATCATCACATTCACATGGCTCCTTAACTTCTTGGATAATTCCCAAAGAGTGAGCCAGCACAGAACCATGCACCACAGCCACCGCTGCGCCATCTCCCATCAGGCAGGGTGGACACGCAGGTGTGAGGAGGGGGCTTGTGGTGTTTGGGAGAAGCAGAGTGACTGCCTGCAGGACATCTCCTTCTCCCACCTTACTCTGAACTCTGCAATCGCTCTTAAACCAACGCTACAAAACAGAAATGCCAAAGCCACCCAGAACTGCCTCCTGGGGACAGCAATCGAGGGCTCCTGCCACTAAGTGGCAATGCAAGGCTGGCTAAAGCCAGGGGACAGGCACAGCCAGGCAGTCACACTGCTGGTCCTGCAACCTGCTTTGGGGACGCTGCATGCCAAGAGTCTCCTTACAGCTGTAGGAGCGTCCTGGCTTCCCTGCACAGCCACTCCTGCAAGTCAGTGCCCTTGTCCCCAGGATGTCTGACATCCCTGTGCCGGCAGAGCCAACCAAACCACAGTGAACGTGCTGGGGCAGTTCAGGACTTGATTGTGCAGGGTGGTGAGCACCCACATCTACCCATGCAAAAACCTACACAGTGCCACTCTCAGGCCACTATCTGGGGCTGTTCCCCCAGGGAAGACCCTGGGACAAAGGCTGCTGCTCCTTCCCACTCCCATTCCACCTGCACCAGGAACTCTCAGCAGCGCATGCCGAAGTACACATCGCTGCAGCGCTCCTGAGGGTTTCTGTGGGGAGAAGGAGGAGGAAAAGGCAGCCAACACAACCTGCTGCTCCTGCCAGCGCTGCTCAGCTCACACAGGGATCTGACAGGGAAATGTTAGCCTAATTCATAGGAATAATCCTCCAAAATCTGTTGCAATGTGCCTCCAGGAGGCATGCCCCTCACTCCACATGTTGCACTGGTAGGCTAAGCCAGGCAGGAGGAACAGGAAGGGGGGAGCACCGAAGAGTTTCTGCCTGCCCTGCCTTCACCTCTGGCTTGCACCCACCCACATCTCATCTCCAGCAACGTGGCCTTGCTCCATGAAACACTGTTTTGGCAACAGCAGGAGCTCAGTTGCATCCACAGGAAGACGGTGTGGAAACACTTAACATCGGGTCTCTGGCCGCCAAGCTTTGCTTCACCTGGTGCTTTTTTAAAGGCAATTTATTCTGAAGCCCCAAGCAAGGAGCCTGTCACCACTGGCTTGAGATGATTGATTTCCAGAGCACTGCCATGGCTGGGCATGGAGACAGGATGCTCAGCAAGAGCAGCTACTCAGGAAAACCAAAAAATTCCTCCAGTTATTGCAAATCTACACAACCGTGTGAGCCAGAAGCTGGGCACTCTATCTCTGAGCTAAAACAGAGTAACCCATCAGCCTTAAACCACAGCAACGCTTTACGGAAACAGGAGACTGGAGAAGCCTACCCTCAGGGAAGAAAAGGACAGAGCCTCACTCTGCGCTACGGCTGCCTTCCCCTCTGCAGTGGCACTGCCCAGCAAAGTGAGATGAAACAGGCTAATCCTGCACAACATGATGAGCTGGGGCAGGCAAGGCTCTGTGGGCCTGGACCGACAGCTGGGACTGGGCATCTTTCATGTCCTGTACCCATTTGAAACGCTGTGTGGGGAACCCTGCATGCAAATAAACACCACCATAAATCTCTCCCCAGTGCTCCTGCTTCTCCTTTGGTGGCCGAGGAAAGCACGGTGCCTCCCTGCCACGATGCATGGAGGGTTCGCATTGCCACGGTCCCTCCAGCCCCCCTCCCCGAGAGAGCCCATCAGCTGCACCAACAGATGCTTTCCACAACAGTCATTTCTTCCCTCCTCCTGCAGAACTAAGACCAAAAGCACTTCAGCAGCCTGGCTGCCGGGCACAGGGCAGCCCAGGGAACTGAACACCTCCCACAATGAGAGGGCTCGAGGGGCAGTACTGAGCCGGTGGGGATGGTGTCACGCACAGCAAGGCTTGCTGGTGTCTCTGGAGAATGCTTACATTTCTGCTGGCTGCTTTTAACCCTCTTACTGAACTGACCAGTGTTTTTATTAGACCACCTACAGAATTCCCCATGCCAAAAATAAACCTCCGCAAAGGACTTCTTGTGCTAGCAAATCTGGCAGGTTTTGGAGCAGCCACCTCTTTATTTCCATGGGAATTTTCCACTGTGCTGTGCCACTGCATGTCACTTCTTGAGGGGGGTAGTAACAAGGCCTGGTGTTGCAGGAGGGAAGACTCCAGACGTTACAGCATTACCAGTACTTGCAGGAACAAGCAAATGGGGCAAGAGCTCCCCGCTCAGCCCCAGACCATGCAATAACGTGACTGTAACGGGCCCCAAGAGAGGCTTCAGAGCTGGAAGGGAAATTCTCAGAGAAGATAAAAAAAAGCAAAGCAGGCAACTTGACAGCAGTAACTCCCCACTAACACACAGCAGAGTGGAAAACATCCGCACTGGAGAGGAGCTACCACGCTAAGGCAACACAGCGGGTAAAATGTCTGCAGCTCTTTCTTGCACAAAAGGCCAGCAAAACTAAAGCACAAGCTGACAGGTAAGCCAGAAATATGAGCCTTTAGGGGCAGCCCAGGGCGAGGCCTCTGAGTGCTCTGAGGTCCCTCCTTGCCAGGTTTTAAGCTCTGGCTGTAGATCTCAACTCACATCTTCTCCCAATTACTGCTGCTGCTTCTGGGAGGGGCCGGTGGTTAACAAGTTCCTCAGCATCCGGCTACCCCGTAGACCCTTTGGGAGAAGAGATTTGTAGAACCAGCTGTTTCTAAAGGGATCAGGTTTTAATCAAAGAATTGGGAAGAAGGGATTTCAAATGCACAGCCTGGATCTCTGCAGCCACCTTTCCAGCTGTCTCTTTCCGACCCCACCTTGCACAGCACTAGGACAGTGGTTCCCTGCCCTGCACAGGCTGTATCCAATCCCTGGTAACGGGTAAGTGCAAGGGGACTGTTTTCTGCCTCCAGACTTTTCCGTTACAGCCACTTGGAAGCAAGTTGCTGGTTTGCTTCTAGAGGAGCTGAAATATGCCAGTCTGGATATGGTACAGGGCAGAGACAGGGAAGGGCAGGCAGGAGAGGATAGGAAATCTCATGTTCCAGAACTAGATCAGCAATGCCCAACCATTGACACTGGTGCCAGCTTTGGCATCCAGAGAGATTTGGGTGGGCACCAATGACAATACTTTAAAAAATACATTTAGTCCCAGAGATCAAAAAAGTTCTCCTGCTCTGAGGAGCACCACAACTTCACACAGCTGCTCTGATCTGAGCTTCAACTCTTGCAGCCTTACTGGGCAGAAGAAACAGAGGACATGTATCGCATCGCAGCGATGACACAGAAACAGCTCCAAACCCAGCCCAGTACTTGCACAAAGAGCCGTCTTCACTGTGGCCTCGCTACCTGGCACTAAGCTGCAGTTCTCTTGTAACACTGCCATACTTACAGGCAAAATACTGCCAGGGCTCGTAGGTAAGGCCAAAGTCGGTAGATCGCTCCAGCACCCAGAGGTCAGGACGAGGGGAATTGGCAAATTTGATCAGGACATATGCCACGTGGAAGAGCTGAAAGAAAGGGACACAGAGTCAGTTGGCTGCTCGAGGCATCAGGAAAACCAGGGACAGCTTAGTGGGATCCAAGCCGAATAAACAAGCTGGCACTTTGCAGATCCTGCTGCTCACAAGCAGCCTGTGGAGCAAAATGAACCGTATCTAAAAGGATTGTGATACAGCACGGCTGCTGGAGAGAGCCAGATTAGGGAGCTCAGCTCCCACAGGTCCGAATGCAAACAAAACACAGACTTTGTGGCTACAGGCCGTACTCAGGAGGTAGTGCTGGGCTTAGACTTAGCCTCGACCTGAGCAGGCAGCACTATAAACCAGTGCCACTGCCCTATCAAAGCCCTACCGAGGGAACCTCACCCTGGCTTGGCAAGGCAAAGGCTTGGCCCCCACCACCAAGCTCTGCAAGGTGATCATGAAAAGCTGCTAAGTGCTACGAAGCTGTTCTGGGGGACTTGGCTTTTGGGCTGTTCTTGGGGTAACAGGTAACACCCTGGACTGCCAGCCTAGGAACATCTGACTGCACCTTGCATATCACAAAATCCGTTATTTTTGTTGGGTTTTTTTTTAAAGGTCCTCTACATGGCAGCCCTGCTTTACCCACGCAACCTGTGTTTTTAAGTTGGTTGCAGAAAAGCCCCAGCACAGCTCCTCTTCCCCAGGTGCCACAGGGAGGGGGGAGCAGGACACCCACTTGGCTTTAGCACAGCTCTAACACTGGTCTGCTCCCATTTGTCTGGACACTGATGTGTGTGCACACACCCTTGCTAAGAATAAAATAAACGTACTCTTTTAAAGAGCTAAAATGTCAGTGCTAGAGAGAAACAAAAGCCCCAGCAGAATTTCCCTTCCCCGGCTGGCACGGGCTCGCTCCAAGAATCCCCACTCCATCATCCTGTCACAAAGTGATATTTAAAGGCAAATAAAGTTCTCTTATCAGAGAAAATTCCTAACGTCAAAAACAACCCAAAAGGGAGTTTAGTGCTTGAAAAGCAGAGATTTATAGCTCAAGAGTCCCTCCTCATACAAAGCTGGTGCTGTGTGAGCATACATCCCCCAAAGACTAACAGGTACCCAGAGAGACACCTCTGCAAGGGGAGGAAAAGGACAGCTCCATGCCCGTCTCAGCCTGTCCGCCCCAGCCATAACCAGCTGCAGGAGGGCCAGAAGAGCAGTCTGCACCTCGGCCCTGCCCCAGCCACACACATCGCTGAGCCAGAGGGCGAGTATTAATAATAACATGCCTCAAAAATAGCCCTGACAATCCATAGAAGACTTTTTAAAGGGAAAAAAGAGACAAGGAAGAGGCATTTAAATCTACCAAGTCATCCATAAAGCACATGCCTTGGTATGGTCATTCAGACAAGGGGGTCTGAGTGCTGTTGCGGGGGTATGGAGCAAGACGGGTGCAGCCTTGCAGGTTGGCACTGGCTCAGTCTCCACCTCAGCAAGACACACCGGCAAAAACTTCCTCAGGCTCCTGCCGGAAGCTCCTCTGGCTCCAGGACAGCCTCTCCTCCACTTACCAGGGATTGCTCTGGTTCCCACTGCAGGGTAGTGGCACCTGGACTTACACCTGGGTATAGGTTAGGGAGGCTCAAGAGAGATGCTCAGGGAAGAGTGAATTAGATCCAGCTGGCAAAGCGGCAGGATCCTGAGGCACAGCAAGTCAGAGGCCATTCTCCAGCTGTGTATGGGCAGGAGTGTGGGATTTGTCACCACTCTCGGGGCTTGCACTGGAAAGGACAGGTGCCATCCAGAATGAAGAAATCAAAGTTGTCACTCAGCACAGTTCCCTGCTGCCAAAAGACTTGCAAGTCCAATCAAGGGGAAAGAGACATCCTTTACAAGTTGCTAGAACTGAGGAAAACCAGACCTAAATGCTGACTTAATTCCCCTCTGCAACCTACATGTTGTCAAGGCATACGAGACTAAGCTGTTTCGGCGGAGGAGCATTTTCTGCCTGTTTACCCTCTCAGCAGAGAGGGTTGTTATTCGTTAGTGAAGCCCAAGAGGCTTCAGCTCAGCCAGCTGCTTTCTCTGCAGGACCAGATCTCACACCTTAACATCTGCCTCTTGGCATGGGAACAGAGCTGAGTACCAGCCAGTGAAGTTACACCTTCCCTCCACTGTAAATCCTTCCCAGGCTTTATTCTACAGGGCATGATCTGGCTGGAATCTGGCATAGCTTTTAGCCAGATAAAATTCACTGCGGCTCCAGCGTACCTGCACCTGTTCTGGTCTCAGGCACTGGAAGAGCCGATGGGCTGCAAAAGGGATAACCTGCCTTTTCACACCAAAACACAAAACAAAGCACGGATAAAACAAAGCAATACTGCAAAACCAAGCAAAACAGACCCTTTGGGGTTACACATTCGAATGACTATTCTGGTGCTAACTCCATCCCTGGGGTCTGCCTTCAGAGCTCCCAGACCTCTGTGGCTCTAGCAGACACCTCATGCACATACTCTGTGCCTCTGAAAATATGGTCATTACGTTCTCAGTACCTGAGACGGACCCTGGTATAGGACTATGTTCCTACATGATAAAGCCTTACAACTAAGAGACAGCAGCAAAAGCAAGAGAACAAAAAGAGAAGTAAGCAGGAATAAGGGAAAACAAGGAAGAAACGACAGCTTGAGATGGTGTTCTTCACAGGCAAGCTGCGGGCAGAAGCTGTGCAGGAGGCAGCATCATCAATTCAGCTAGAGAGGCATTTTGGTGTGAAACCTCTGAAGAACAGTAAGAACAACAGTGCCCGCCTCATACTGTGCGGGAAGGATGACTGTCAAATAAGACAGCCTAACCCCAACGTCGGGAATCTCTATCTCTGACCAGTGAATTTGGTGACTGATTTTGGGGTACACCCAGCTTGAAGTGGTGGGAAGCACCTGATAGTGAAAGGAGCCACAATGTAAAATCCCCTCAGCTGCCTTTAATGCATCTTAGTGAAAACCACCAGTCAGGTCTGCAATACGCACTCGGAGCTTCCCTCGACCCAGAGGAAAAATGACTTTCACAGAAGCACTGTGTAGTTTTACTCGTGGCATGTCTAAATTGCTTTGAGATCCATGGAGGAAAGATGCTTTCCAAAAGGTCACCTGTTTTTAGCACTTTCAAAGAGCAAGCTATGCACTTCTGTCCTCACATTCAGGGGGAAATGCTCTGAATGAACAGCAACCACAGCATAAAATTAGAAATGTGAGGCGTATCCCTATCTTCTGCATTTATCTTTTTGCAAAGACAGCCAGCTACGAGTTTATAGTCAGTAAATCCCACAGAGTTTTGGCAGGGTGTGTGTGTGTGCTTCTTGCTGTCCAGTTTCATGCTGGAAAGAAATGTTCCTAATTGAATATCCTCAAGTCGAAACTCCTCGCACGCTTCTCGCTCTCAGAAGTCCCCTCCCTCTGGAGAGCATGGGTTACGATCCAGTCAAACGGGTGCATGGTGAGAGTCAGGTTTTGTACAAACACTGAAACTTGACGCAAAACCAAGCCTAGGGCTCAGTGCTTTATAAAGTGAAAACAGCAGCAAAAAAACCAAACCTAGCACCACTGGTTGCAAGCCCTGATGTAAGAGCTCCTGGGACAGGGGAGTGGCAGGGTCAGGCAGCACACAGGCTCATGACCTGTACAGAAAGAAGATGTAGCTGGTTTCAGTACATTTTAAGTCATGGAAGATGTGGGTTTCTGCATGACAGATGTACACACACATTGGGCACTGGGGAGAGCTGTGTCCATGCTTGCTGGGAGCTCTCTGAAAGGCCAGTCCTGCCCCCACTGGCAGGGTTAAATATCCAAGACCAGGGATAGCACACTAACTTTTTATCTTTTATTGCTGATTTTCACAGGAAAGAACAAGAACTTCTAGGTTCTTGCTGGATCAGCTGCAGTATCTCAGCTGAAGCCCAGTTCAGACATTCCTATCCTGTTCCCGCTCTCAAAGCCTTTGCTCCATACCCACGCCCATCGTTAGCACTGCTGCGTACTGTTGGACTGCTGCTCAATTTCATTCCAGTCATGACCGCAATTTGGGGACACAAAGAAGCCAGCCAACACTGCACACCCACTCCCCTCCAGCACGTAAGGGTCAGGGTTATTTCTACATGGAGCACAGAAAATATTCAGGAGCCTGTGACCACAGTGAATCAGCCCTGGAACAGGACCCACATCCTGGTATTTAGAGGGATTTTTGTCAAATCTGGTGAGTCCCCTGCCCCTCCATCCTTATCTTGCAGAATATCACAGCCTGCCGGAAAAAATAAAGGCAGATTGCCTGCTTCAAGTGCATATGCTGAGAAAACTCAGAGAGATACAAAGATGGAGCAGTAGCTCTAAAAATAGAGCTGGCAGAAAAGCCAGACTTTTCATTCCATGTTTAGTTCCACTACAGTTCTGCCCAACCAATATTGCAAGAGAAATGGTCGGGGTTTTTTCCAAAGTCTTTATTTAGCTCCCATTACCAGTCAGATGAATAAAAACCTCTATGCTCCCAGCCTCTTAGGCAATTTTTTTCCCTTCTCCATGGAGGAAAGAGGTGAAGCAGCACATTTGATGCACGCGCTTGTCTCCAGGCAAGCAGATCCCTTGCTCTCACCACCTCTGAAAGTGTGCCAGGTACAACTCAACCCCCAACCATTGCCTGGGATTTCATGAAACAAGTTTTCCATCAGGAAATTCTGACAGGAGTATTTTAATTAGCAACCAACTTTCTTCGAAAACAGTAACATCCCTGCATCTAGCTGATGTTGCTGTTAGTGGTTTTGAAGCATATTTCCTTAGTAACAATCGCTTACAGCCACCTCAGTGCCTCGAAGGATGGAGCACGTCCCGGAGCCAGGAGAGGAAGATGGAGATGAGGGCATTTCCTCCACCTCCCATCCACTCCACCCCTTTGTGTGTTTGGATGGTGGGCAGCTTTATCCAGCACCAAAATACCATGAGAATATAATTCTGATTACTGCCCAGTGTGACAGCACA